CCAGTATCAGTACAGGCTGGGGGATGAAGGGATTGAGAGCAGCCCTGCCGAGAAGGACTTGGGGGTGCTGGTGGATGAAAAGCTGGATGTGAGCCAGCAATGTGCGCTTGCAGCCCAGAGGGCCAGCCGTATCCTGGGTCACATCAAGAGAAGCGTGGCCAGCAGGTTGAGGGAGGTGATTCTGCCCCTCTGCTCTCTCTGAGTGAGACCCCACCTGGAGTGCTGCGTCCAGCTCTGGGGCCCTCAGCACAGGAGGGACACGGACCTATTGGATAGGGTCTGGAGGAGGGCCACAAAAATGGGCTGGAACACCTCTGCTACGAGGAAAGGCTGAGAGCTGGGGTTGTTCAGCCTGGAGAAGAGAAGGCTGTGGGAATGACCTTATTGCAGCTTTTCAATATTTAAAGGGGTCTTATAAGAAAGATGGGGACAGACTTTTTGCAGGGCCAGTAGCGATAGGACAAGGGGTAATGGTTTTAAACTAAAAGAGGGCAGATTCAGACTGGATATAAGGAAGAAATTTTCTACGATGAGGGTGGTGAAACACTGGAAGAGGTTGCCCAGAGAGGTGGTAGATGTCCTATCCCTGGGAACATTCAAGGCCAGGCTGGATGGGGCTCTGAGCAACCTAATCTAGTTGTAGATGTCCCTGCTCATTGCAGGGGGGCTGGACTAGATGGTCTTTAAAGGTCCCTTCCATCCCAAACCATTCTATGATTCTATGACTGCACAGCCCGATTTTCCTCCCCCCCCACCCCACCTGCAGCTCAGCGGGGGTTTGCCCTCCCCAGCACCCACCTGGCCCCATGCTGTGCACCCAGCCTGGCCAGCAGCCCTAACAGCATCCTCACTGTGGGCTCTGGCCCTGGCCTCTCGATGCCGGGCCACGCAGCAGGCTCCCTCCCCAGCGCCTCCGGGAAGGATGCTCGCTGCAGCGGGAAGCCAGGCACACCCGGGGCCTTACCTGAGACCGAGAGCATGGCCAGGGTGGGATGGGAAGGATCTGATGCAGGACTGCTGGGACTAGTTAAGCCAGTGGTCTTGAGATAGGGAGGAAGGCGGTTTGGGGTGGCAGGGATGGGAGGGGATGCCCCAATGACTGGTACCTGGGTTGGTTCTGGGTGTGAAGGGATATAAGGCAGGGCATGTACAGCATCCTGGCTGCTGCCCGCTTCCAGGCGGCAGCCATCAAACACAGGATTTTATTTTGTTTTGGGGCTGGCTTTTTTTTTTTTCTTCTTTCTTTTTTTGCTTACATTTTCTTTTCCCCATGAGAGTTTTATTGGGGAATGCAATGAAATTAAAAATAGACAAAATTCAGCTCCGCTGCGCAAGGCGGTGCTGGGAAGCCTGCATCCGTCACAGCTTCCTGCTACCCCAAAGGGCACAACCCGGCTGCTCAGGATCTAGGTGGGTAATGTCTCTTTACTGTCCCTCCACCCTGATGTGGCAGGGGGGCTGGACACCCCTCGTGGCCCCCAGGTACAGCGGGTACCCGCAGGGTGGATGTTAAGATCAGGAAGCTGAAGGATGTAGCGGGGCTTTGGGATCCCACGTGGGGTTATCTGGGTGTGCACCGAGAGGTTAGGGCTGTCCCTGCACTGCCGGGTCGGTGTGGGGACCGGGGCACTGACACAGCAGAGTGGCACTTTGCTTGAGCAGAGAAGGCAGCTCTGGCCTCTAATCCTTGGTGCATTTTTTGTATTTATTTTTGGGAGGCCTATGGGAGCTGAAAATGCTCCTTTACTTGAGGCTTGGAAAACATCCTTCCCCTCAGGGATGTCAAATATTTTATTTTTTTTCAACTCGGGTTTGATAGTGGGATAAAAAAGTTGGAGGGCTTTGGTGATTACAGACATGGTCTCCAGGGTACAGAGGAAAATAGAGAACAAAGTAGATGCAGCTTTGCTTGGAAATCCCCCAAGCCCTGTGAACTTGTCCTGGGCAATTACCCTTGCCAGCTCCCAGCTTTCCTGGCAGCCAGCGGAGCTCAGCGGGGAGTTGTGCCTTGCAGCTCCTCGCTGGGCACAGGGCAGGCATCCCACCAGCTGCCATGGCGCACCGGTGGTCAACCTGTTTTGAGGACAGTCTGGGTGATGAGTGCCAGC